CGCCAGCTGCTTACATAGTTTTGTCGGTTACAATTTACTGGTTAAAAGAAAAGAATGAGGAAATAAAGGTGTTACCATTTGCCAGTGTGAGAAAGACCAGTCAACTACTCAGGGTCTCAAAATAACTGGTAAATTAAGGTACTGTCCTCACACTGCGAATGGCTCTGACCTTTGCATGCCCTGATGACCTTGTAAAATGGCAGTCCTATCTCTATCAGATGTAGGGATACAGGGCTGAAACTTGGCAGTCGCCAGGTCGCCAATGGCGACTTAAAATGTAGCTGGGCGATGAAAAATTGTTGTTGAATCGCCCGACGGGCAACTATGATAAAAAAATATAAATTCAAATTCATCCCAATATAAGCTTATATTACGATTGCAAGTACGAACTTAAATAAAAATAAAATGACAGGTTGTTTTGTTGGAGTACCTTTCTTTCTTTTCCCTGAATCTAATTTCTCCGAGTCCTATGAACATTTTATAGTTTTAAATGGAAAAGGATTAAACCCTAAACAATTCTAAAGCAATCCATGAGATGCCATTTTTGATTTTTCTCACATGACTCAAGAATTACCCATAGTACTTTGCTGTCTGCTTCTGTTGCTGCCGCTTCCTTGGCTCCCATGTGTGAACAGCTTTGGAATACTAAATCAACTGGAAAAGACTGGCAAAATGTGGGGATTTCTCTCTGATTGTGAGCCGCCTCCAACAAAAAAAAACACGACATAAGGAAGATGGGCAGGAATGGAACAGAAATTACAAAAAAGATCACAAACATTTCAAAAGAGTTGGTCGAAATGCTAGGGAGACCATAGCTCAAAATCCGTTAAAGGCACATTCCTCTTTCCTTTAAATATTCTGGAAATCCAGGGCCACTTAATGTTGACCTGGACGACTAAGAATTCAAGGAAACTGGCCCGGCTGGCCACCAAGCACTTGAGTTAAGTTTCAACCCTGGGGATAGCGTCCTCAGTAATAGTACCCTCGCGCTAAATACATTTACACTCTATTTCAAATTAAGTGCTTTTTTATATTTTCCCATGGAAGGTCATAACTGAGTGACTTTCTTAGTGTTCAAACAGCTGGACTTTTACTTTGCAGGTTCTTATGGTGGTGGTCGCCGCGGTGGTGGCTATGGTAGCTACGGAGGAGGAGGAGGGAGCTATGGAGGTGGCGGCAGCTATGGTAGCTATGGTGGCCAAGGTTATCAAAATTATTAAGGTAGGAAGTACGACTGATTTTCAATGTTGTGGTAAAAATCTTTCTGCTGTTGCGACATTTTAATCCCCCCAGCAATTTACAGTCACGGAAAATTACATTTCTAGGCCTAGAAAGAGTGTAAAACAGACCTGTGACAGGAGAAATACCACTTATATCAAATTTTGTGTTTTTCTGGGTCTCAATGTCATTGATTTGAGCTCAAGGTTCACTGGGTCCTTGGATGTGAGGATCTCTGAGTCATTTGCCCTTGTCCTGCTTTGCTTGTCCCAATAAATAAGAAGTGTTGATTAATAAGTTTCCTGTTGTATTTTGTTTATTGTCTTTAAGACCAGGGGCAGTATCACTAAAATATAAGGCCACTTGAAAATTATGAGTATGGATCCCTTCTCATCAATACCTGATTTACACTTGGTCCCTGTAAATACCTAGACAGTTATTAAAAACGAACTGGAAGGTTTGCTTTTCATCAAAAAGCCTCAAGAGCTCTTTATACACAAAAAGCTATTTTTTATTATTATTTTAGTAAAACTACATATTTTGCAGTTCAAGATCTTAGTTAAGATTTCCAAAGGAAGTTCATGTTAATAGAAATTGGCCTACCCTTGCCGTAAAAATATTAAACAAAGCAGGAAAATGGTGGACTTGAACTAGAAAGTTGGGCTAAGGTTTTCAAGTTTGACCGTGTTTATTAAGAAACTTGCTGAAAACAGGTTTATTCCATAGCCCAGGCTTGTGGCTTTTTGCTTCCATCCATATGCTGCCGTTGGGGATAGGACTTTGTTAGTTGAGTGGGGAAAGTAAGATACTTTGGGTTACAGATTATTTTTTTAAAAGGAAATTGCAACTTGGCACCAAAAAGAGATCAGATCTTGTTTTGTTTTATGTATCTTGCCAAGGATCTTGTGCTCTTTTTTCGTGGCCTTGACGGCATGTAAAAGCAGGTTTCAATATGGTGCTCCTTTTTCATTTTAGCTACATGTAAATAGAAAAATTATTGTTCAAATGACAATACTATTTGCAGCAAAATGCAATCAAAAACACCGACTTTTGCCCCTTCTTAGAAAATCTCCCATGCTTGGCTGCACTCATCTTCCACAATTTTGGAATGGTCATTTTACACTATGTACAAGGGGGCTGTTTGATTCAAGTCCATGACAGTAGCATGTGATTAAGCTTCAAGCCCTAAGCGTGATCAGCATCTAATTTCTCCTTCTGATAATCATACGGTATAAGTGCTTTATATTTTAACGGATGAAGGACTTGATCACACAAGATGAATTTGCTCGATACTTTACCAACCTTGCCCCTCTACTTCTCTAGTAACCAAATAGGGCCAACAAATGAGAATCTAAATTTTGATCCTAGTGTTTAAAACAAAGGGTTAATATGCAAGCTACAAGAGTGGAGAGTTACCTGGGTGCCGGTGGGTAGGGATCTGGGGGTTGAAGTTGAGATAAGTTGATGAGGTGGGGAGAGAGGCAGAAAAGGTACCGGTAAATCCTAAGTTTTAAAATTGTCAGAGTTTGTCACAGCATCTCTGTACAATTTTGTTGTTTAATTAAGGGTTGATGATGTACTGTGATTATTCTTGCTCCGTCTCTTAACGATAGTATTCTGTTTGTCATTCTTACAAAAGGCCGTGACTGGTAATGCTCTGTACAACACCATGATACCACCATGTTCCTGTTACAATGTACTTATATATTGACGAGCTGAGATGTTTGTTAGAAGAAAAAAATATTCAGTGCCAGGCTGACCTGAAACACGATGAATGAATTTCCTCTGTTAATGACGTTCAGTGCTCTGAAGTAGACTTCCTGTTACCTTGATCCGTGTGCTCTGAAATCCTCAACTTGTGACGTGTTTGACTGATCCATGTTTTATGCTGAAACGGCTTGCCATACAAAGTCCAGCCTTTTTTTAATATTATTTTCATTGTTGTTGTTGTTGTCCACCAGTATACATGTAGCTCTAAACTTGGAATGTTTATTCCTTGTTTGCTTTATCAACGCAGTCAAAGTAGACTGCTGTACTCATTAAAAGAAAACGTTTTGCTGTGTACAATGGAAGTAATAAAACTACTAAGTTTTACCAACAGCAGGTCATTTCAAGGGGAAAGATTGTGATGATTATTATTTTTTCTTTTTTTTTTTTTTTCAGTATGTAGTGTATTTCACAAAGTTGTTTTATATCCCATTCCCACTGAAGGAGAGGCGCAAATTAACTTTTCTTGGCAGGAGGGTGATTTTCACATAAAAAGATGGGCAGCGGTGCTCTTCCTAAAAGTGGAATTCAAATCTGAACAGATACTAATCTGTGCATGGCTTAAACATTATTTGACCCCTATGAGATATTCTAAAATGGACAGCTAAATAAGTTTTAAAAGGTTTTATTTCTATAGAGAAGTTGCCAGTGGTTGCTTTCTTCCTCACTATTAATTCATTTTTTGGTTTACCTTGTATCTTCTTAATTTTGTTTTTATGGCAAAGCCTAAATGGTACCAGTTTGGGTAAAGATATTATTCTGTCCTGAACGCCCTAAGTGAGATCAAAATCTCCCATTTACATCATTAAGTGAGACAAAGAGCATTTTTGCCCCTGTCATGAAGGCTTTGCAGGCGTAATGACATCGCTTCTATCAAATGAGTTGTTTATGAAAATTGACCACTGCAAAGGGAACTCAAATGCTGTGATTTATGGGAACGATTTGCATGACGTGACCTAAATATTTGACACTCCCAGAAAATGTAAGGCCCAGCTAGACTCTAACCAAGGGGCTTTTTTGGTATTACAAAATAAGTATTGGTGCTTTGACCTCCAAGTGAGTTAGTTCAACAGTTAGGGTTTGGACTGGCCTCGGGCTGGGGTTTGCGCTTCAAAAAGTCACGTGATAAGTATTTTCATCCACACTGAAACACTCTAGGGTGACTAAGTATATGTTGTGTATGTTAAGAATACTTCGCACTTGGTCTTAAATTTGAAAACTCGCCACCCACTTGGTGTTTTGCACTTTGGCTTAACATGGAGCATTGCAAGGCTTGTAACAAATAGCCTTCCTATCT